GGAGGATTGTCATTTATGTCTCCCACATTGACAGTCACTTTAGTTTGGCTGCTCATAGGGGGCCTGCCCTTATCTTCAGCCTTGACGTGAAATACATATTGATTCACTGTCTCTCTGTCTAATTTTCTGGTAAGGTACAAGTCCCCAGTTTGGCTGTTAATACCAAATGGTAAATTGGACTCCACTAAACTGTAAATGATCTGTTGGTTTGTACCATCATCTGCGTCAAATGCAGTAACACGAGTAAAGGTGTGTCCTACACTCTCACGTTCCGAGACCATTTCTTGAAAATCAGAATTCACAAACTGAGGTGCATTGTCATTGACATCAATAAGGTATATCTCCACTGAGGTTTCGTTGTAATTTGGCGATTCACCTTTGTCTTGAGCCATCACAAAAAGTGTATGCACTGGAATGTACTCATAATCAAGTTTCTTGTTTACTTTGATCTGACCATTAAGATGATTGATAGAAAAAAGTTCCTGGTCATTACCACTGCTAAAACTGTAGGTGACTTCACCATTGGTGCCAAGGTCCTCATCTGATGCACTTACAGTCAAAACTAGCTCCCCTGTTTTGATGTTTTCAGGAATCTTTTTGGAGTATTCTCTCTTTAAAAACTGAGGAACACAGTCATTGACATCAGTAACAGTAATTCGCACAGTGGCCTGGTCTGTTTTAGGAGGGGATGCACTATCACTTGCCTGGACAGTAAGGGAGTATTGCTGTACAGTTTCTCGATCCAGATGTTTGTCTACAGTTATTGAACCACTACTTTGACCAATTGCAAATGCACTGTTTACACCACTATTATTAATGATGTTGTAACGGATATCTGCATTGGAACCTGTATCTAAATCGCGTGCCCGCACATCAAGGACCGTTTCTCCGATAAAAATATCCTCTGGTATGACTTTGCTGTAGGAGGATGATTCGAAGTTCGGCGCGTTGTCGTTTACATCATCGACATAGATGGTCAGATCTGCTTCAGCATACAACGATCTTTCTTGTTCGTATTCGGCTTTGATACGAAAATAGTGCGTCGGCATCTTTTCACGATCTAAAGAAGCTGAAGTTTTTATTAATCCCGTGTTAGGATCGATCCCAAAGAACGACTGACTGAGTAAATTCTGGGACGCTTCCATGGAGTATTTAATTTTCCCAGCGTACCCATTGTTCGTATCTTGTGCTTGAATCGTAATAACGCTTGTTCCTACGGGACCATTTTCTCTAACCTTAGCTATTAACTGAGAGCTGGAGAAACGGGGAGCTGTTTTCTGTGGTCGACGACGAAATCGGCGTACCTTCTTGGCAAAATTGTTTGCGTTTTTATCGATAAACAACTCAAGTCGCGCTACAAGAACTTGTTTATTTCCACTCGCATTCTCAGAACCAACCGGAAATGCCAACTCCACTACCAGAGTGTTTTCTTGAAGTCCAAGTAACGATTTTCGAAGCAC